TGAGTATGTATAGAGAATACAGTTATATTATATACAAATATAAAGTAATATGACCAACTAGGAATAAATTAATCATGTTTTTATGTGTAAATAGGAGTGAAATTTCTATAAAAACAGTTAATTTCAGACAGCTTAAAATGAATTTTAGCATTAAATATAAAACATACAACAAACTAAATAATTTATAAATATGGGATGATTTTATTATGTGTGACTGTGAAGTTTTGTTAAGTACATGTGTGTGTGCCTGTGTGGAGGCCAGATGTTAATGTCAGGTGGCTTTCACAATCACTCGCCAGCCTAATTTTTAAGGCAGAATGTCTCACTAAAGCCAGAACTTACTGATTGACTAGACTGCCTGACCAGTGTTCCTGAGGGAGCCTCCCATCTCTGCCTCGCCAATACTGAACTTACCAGTACTTGCACAGCAGACACTTCCTGACTGAGCCATTTCTTAAGGACCATAAGTATTTTAAAAGATTTTTATTACAAAGAATACATTAAAGAAGCTAGGTGTTATGACACCTGTCTATAATCTTGGTGCCCAGGAGGCTAGAGCGGGGGCATCCTGAGTTAAAGTCTACCCTAGGCTATATCATAAGAATCTATGTCAAAAGAACTGAAAAATAGAAAATTGAAAAGAATATATAAAAAGGATTAAAAGGATATATATATATATATATATATATCCTTGAGACATAAAATAAATTTTTTTTTCTAGAATTCTTAGAAAACTAATGGAAAGAAACACACCAGAACCAATGGGAAATGGACTGAAAAGTCCTGAAGACCAGGTTTCTTTTTGCATTTATAAATTAGCTAAATAACTCAAGACTGTGGTATTGTCTCCTACAGACTATATAACTGTACTCCAGGCAAAAATACTCCCTGGAGCTTCTCAAACTTTCTATTTGAGGTATTCCTAATCAATGAAAATAATGGAAGCCCACCTTAAGCAAACCACCAAGTAAAGTGGAACTTTCTGATTTCTTTGGAAACTCAGTTATGTCATGTTTTGCTAGGGCAGACAGATGAAAGAATGTTGAAGCAGACATGTGAAAAAAATGTTTTGCTGAAGCAGAGACATGAGAGGATGTGTGCTGTTTAGAAAAATATATGAATATGACCTCACAGACTGTGAGAGGAGGCTCTGGCTTTGGTTTGCCTTGCTCCAACTTTCTAGTTTTCCCTAATTAGGTTTTGGCATTGGTTCACCTTGCATGATGTTACTAATCTTTGCTTCTCGTGACTTGGTAGAGAGTAACTCACCAAAGAACTTCACATGATATTCTGGCAGCTTCTTGCTGCTTCTGCTGACCTGGACCAATTGGAGTTTCTTCTGTATCAAACAGCTGTTGCTGATTCCTGAGTAGTGATTGCCAAGTAGACTGGACTGCTGACAACAAATACTGGAATATTCCCATAGAACTATTTCTAAACAGGTCCACAACTGCTGTTTCCTATTTACCTTTCTTTTCCACTACCTCTGGTGGGTGGTGGGCTAGAAGGGAGGATGAAGAGTTTAAGAACCCTTACTAAAGTTTTTTTTTCAGCTTCCACTTAGCCATTCTTAGGATTGCTACAATGATCAATACCTCTCAAGTGTACATAAGATCTTTATGGTCACATAGTTTGTCTTCAGGAGAGAATCCAGTTCCAGTGCAATCTGCATGCCTCTCCTTGTCTTCTATTCCACCCGCTTCTTCAAGCAAAGCTTCTAACCAGGATACTCCCTCCCAAGTGATGGTGGCCATTTAGTAAAATGTTATTTGAGCCCTTTTGTCTAATTTCATTTTACCAAGAAACAGATAAAGATAAGCTTTCCAATAAGCCAAGAATATCTCATCATGAGGGTTATTACCAGCTAATTTCAAATAGTGGCTAGCTGTCCTTGGGTAATGTTCTTTTCTGTAGCATTCAGACAATTGCCTCTCTGTTTACCTAAATGGTCATCCATGAGCTGAGGAAATCCACTCTTAACCCTCCTCTACCCCATGACCATGTGACATGCCTGCTTCAGGCCATACAAATGGGTACATCACCCAAAATAAGGTAATTGTAGAATCCATGTTCATGGTGATTGGCCCAAGAGAATGTCTGACTCAAAAAATTTGAGGAGAAGCTGAGAAATAAATAGTATTTCATCGCTTTGGGTTTTTTTGTAAGTTATTAGACTAAAGCCCTGGGAAATGCCAGTAGCCATGATATATGCTGCAAAGTAAAGGTCACCCAATAACAGGAGAAAATAAAACCACCAAGCAAAGATGAGAAACATCCAGATGGATCTGGTGATCTTCAAGCCCTCCGATTACATGGTGTAAATGCTCTCTACAGTGCTTCTTGTGAGCTACTCTTTCTCCTTCCAAAAGCATCCTGGTTTTTCTTCAAGTAAATTGAATTGAATTTGTGTTTTTTACAAGCAAATAAACAAACAAACAAACAAACAATCCTGAGCTGAACAGTTTATCTTGTAGTGATTAGACATTGACTACTGAAAGTGTGTTCTCCCACTTGATGGGTGTGCACATTCTCTGAATACTCCCTTAGGTGGAGGTAGAGGTGAAGGTGACAAAGATGAAATCAGCCACTGTCATTTGTTGTTAACTTAATGAGGGTCAGACTTTATGTTAGGCACTCTTTCCATTAGCACCTTTAAACGCTTCATAATTTGATTGAGTATTGGATTGGTATGCTACAGATTGGTAAACTGAGGCTCTGAGAGACTCTGTAATGTACCATCAGAAAGCAAATAAATAGTGGAGAATTAGAACACAAATCCTTCTTCTTTTGTAAGGTTGGTATTTTGCTATATCCTTATACTATATATGCTACAACTATATAAAGTAGATCAACTCTTTTGCAATGGTTCTATGACTCTGGTCATAGATGGTTTAGGCTGACTCTGGGGAGTTTAGTGGTTTTCTTCTGATATCCCTATAACTCCAAAGATGGGAGTTGATGTGAGTTGGGTTTCTACTTTAGCTATAAAATGAATTCTCTTATATTCCCTGAGAATGCTCCAAATCTTTCCAGGCTAATGATATAAATTCAGGCAAAAAGGAAAGAAAATTCAAATGGTCATTATTGTTCACAGTCCAACATTCTTTCCTTGTTTATAGGAACTATTAATATTAAATATTAAAATCCTGAGGTATCATTATATTATTCATAGTCAAGTTTTTACGACACCTACTTTTACAAAGATGAATCTCAAGAGAATGGAAAACATTTGGCTAAGTGTTTTTGGGTTTCATCCCCCCAGGATGTACTGAGAGTAATAAAAGTGATTTTAAGCCAAAGAGATGGCACCACTCTAAGGTAACTGAAGAGATTCAAATGATTTACTATACTTTATGTCCTATTCCTAACACGAAGTTAAGTGAAAGGGAAGAGGCAAAATGGAAGCACCTGTCTACAGATTCAGGGCCCATAAGCCTGCATTTGTATATAATACACATTATGCTACATTGTTGCTTCAGCATCCATGCTACAGCCAATAACTCAACAATAGTTTTATGCCAGCCAAGAGGGTAATAAATGGCAGGCTGTAGAATGTTTTATTCTGCATTAGTGCATTGCTTCAGCCAGCTAATGATTCTGACTTCCCAGCCTGCCTCCTTTATTACTGAACATGAATTTATAGGCAGCATCTGTCCTCCAGAGCCTAAAGCGGCTCCTGTGGTCCCTATGGTGTGTTGTAGCCTCACAGTTACATAGGTAATATACACAGGACTTTCAAAACTGGGAGGTTTTCTTGTGGAAGCTGTAATGTGACACATTGTGTCCTACCTTTTGTCCACACTTCAATGCCTGTAAATGTTGCAATGGTCTGCTAAGAGGCCTCTGGCTTCTGTTACACTATCAATATTGAAACCTCACTGGAACTCCTCTCAGATATCCTATTGCTGTCCTATGTCACAGAGATCCTATAGTCGTGGATCTGTAGGACCAGCCCCTTCATGCACTCTAGCAGTTCATCAGTGAGGTAGAGGTTGAGATGGGTCAATTCAAAGCCCCAGATCTTGTCCTGAGAGTTATCTGAACTGTTCAGTTTGCCAGCTCTTCTGCACCCACACCATTGGGACTGCTCATCAGCAACCCCTGCAAACAGGGCTGGCTCTAACCTGCTGCCCAGGCAAGACGTAGGGCCCTTTCCCCCAAGTGCTGTAGCAGGTGAAGGGCAGGACGATTCCCCCTCCTCTCATAACCCTGATTGGGCCAGCTCTCCTGTTCTCATTCCCTCAGGGACAGCTCTCAGACCCAGGCGAGGGGTGAGGCCAGTTCTACACAGCCTGTAGATATCAACATGTCCCCAGGCAGCACAGACCATGGATGCCTGCCCACACTTGGTGCTTGCAGACCCCTACTGCTGTTGGGCCATGGACCCAGATGTAGCCCCTGGTGGCAGCATAGACCAGGACCCCACCATGGTCCTAGAGAGCATCATCAGATACATCAGACTGTACCTCAATACCCTTAAGTCTCCAGTTCTGCCTCTCTTCACTGCGCCCATATCCTTCTGCTTCTCTTTCTCTTCCATTTCTCCACCACTTACTTGCTCCTCTTAGGGACACATTAGGGTCTCTGAGCATCTGGGGTCATCTCAGTAATGGTCTCAGCAATGCTATGTGCACTATGGCTCTGGGCAGGGGCCATCTTGGGCATAGTCTGCCCTTCTAGGATTGTATAGCACAAGACTGGTGACCATCTCAGGCTAGCTCCCTGACCAGGCCCCATGGAACCAGACTGGTGGTCATCTGGTGCTCAGTCTTCTTCAGGGCCTGCCCATGTGGCCCATACAGGGGTTGTTTATATCAGACTTACTCCTACCTGGGGCCCAAAGTCCTGGATGTGGAAATTTTTAGTCTCCTCCTTTCTTCCAATGGGCTACATGATCCCAGAAGGGGTTTATATCCTCTCTGGCTTGCTCCCACCCTGAGAGCCCATCCAGACCTGATCAGTGCAGGACCTGTGGTCCTTGCAGGCTCACTTTTTGGGGGAATGTTAGGCTCCAAATCATTCAGAAGTTCACAGGTCATAACACTAAGGTTAGACATAGTGTCTCTCCTCTCTGCCACGTATTGATGCACATGTGACAGAGCAGCCATTCCTGCAATGCCTCTAGGGGCAGCTAAAGAAAAATTTAATGTCACTATTACCATTATATAATCCATAAAAATAAAGCATCTTGATGGGTCGCATTTGTCCTCCACTCAGAAATACATTTGTGATTTAACCTTCCTATCAGTAACTTTGAATTTAGTGTCTGCCATGTTGCAAGCAGGATTATGGGAGAAATAATGTTAAATTAGACAACCTTTTCTCAATAGCTTGCTTCCAAGTTAAAAAACAATATCATTGCAGTAGCTACATTACAATCTACAGTAAATCCTGTATCTGTCATAAACAAAGTGCCAGCTAGTGCTGAACAAACTCAAAAGAGGTTTACATGAAATACTATTGTTATAAAATGGAAAAGGGGGTAGATTGTAAATGGAACAGAGAGGAAGGTTGGAGATTTGAAGATCATGAGAAGAAAGGAAAGAGCAAACTGAATGTACAGAAAGAAACAAAGCCATGAAATTCAGACAACATGATAATTCAGAAGGGTGTGATAGATAGCTGTTTGCACGCAATTTTGGTTGTATCACACATGCAATAGTCAGAGTGTGTCATCCACACTGGGTCTTTAGAAGAGTGAGGAATGGGCTTAGTTCAGAGATACAGTGCTCTTCACAACAAAAGCTCTCAGGCCATAGTAGCCTGCAAACTTTGTAACACTGACTAGAGTCTGATCCCCTTCAATTGGATCCTGCAGCAAGGACATTATTTAATAAAACAAGAACCTCTATTTTCAGGACTCCCCATCTTATTTCTATTGCCAAGATACCTCAAGGGAACTGTGAAACAGTTCTGCATTTTATTTTGTTTGGGGTTTTTACAGAGCTTTATGTTGTTTGAGACATGATCTCGCTACACAGCCCAGGATGGCCTCAACCTTGTGCCAGTCTCCTGCCTCTTGAGGGCTAACATTACACATATGCCATGCCATGCCATGCCATGCCATGCCTGGGTTGATTCAATTTTTATTTTACTGTGCCAGCTGTGTCTTTGAAATTAAGGACATTTCTGCTGTGGATCCGACATATAGCTCCATTTGTCTCGCTTGGCAAGCAACTCATCACACAAACACCATGATCACTCCCATTTTAGAGACTTAAAAAGCAAAGCCACACCTTTATAAATCAGCGATGCATTTAGATCCAGGTGCATCTAAGTCCAAAGTCGGAGCTGTAGCTGTGAATTCATGCTGAGACCCTGACAAGTTCATCCCTTAACCTTTCAGAGGATAGTGTGCTTTGCTATTGGTTCAGTGTCCTTACTATTACCTCTATACATGACTGAGATTTACTTGACTACATAAAAAAGAAAAGTCTAACTGCAAGCAAACTCATTTCTTCTTCCTATACACACATGCTGCCACACTGGACCTGCTTTTCACATTGCAAAATATATATTTAGTCTGGAACATTTTCTGAATTTGAAATGCTGCCTTTATTTTTCCCAAGTCAAATAATTACTGACTTGCTCCAAACAAAAAAAGAAAGTGACAGAATCGTGCTTGCTTCTGATTTTCATCAGATTGCATCAGAAAACATAGAGAAAATCACTAGTCTTAGAGTATGTTAGGCAGTGGTGCTAGATAGTACAGGTATGAACAGAGATGAAAACATAACCCTGGCAAATAAATATACTGAGGATTTGTGGACTTACTCATTCCTTGTGTACTAGAGTAGTTGTCTATAAGATATTATAGCTGAATTGAATATATTTGGTTTGGTGTATTCCCTTGGTCACTGAAATTAGAGTGAAATCCAATCCTGAAGCAAAGCTTTGCTTTTCGAAACCAAATACTTTTTATTAAGTGATGCTCTCAGCCTTAAAAAAAAATAGGGACTACTTAATTTGAATTATAAGATAACCCCAAATATGTACATAAATCCCAAATATGTATATAAAAAATATAGTATTGGAATTCAAAATGCCAAGTCCCAGACACACATAATAAAATGCACAGGGGTAATGACTCAACCACATGGTTCACATAAGAATTGTTCATGGAAGTATGAGTAGTCATTTAGGGGAATAGAATGTTAAATTATTAATTTTTAATGTTTAGTTATTGTTAAATTATCTGAACAATGAAAGAAAAGATAAGAAATTGTCATTATACTACAGTCCAGAATCAAGACACACACAGAAAGTATTTGCCAATGATCAATAGAATCATGCTAGCAAATGCTAGAAGCAGCAGGTAAGAAGTGGGCCTCCAGAAGCTTCTGCTCTAGATATGACACCTAGCTCAAAATTCAGCCTAAAGATATGCTAAGGATCGAGCTTTAACATTCTTGCCACAAAGCCAGTATCTAATCTAGTGTGTAAAAACATTCATTACTGAAATGAATTCATGTGCATTGGAATGCTTACTCTCTCCCATCAGTGTGACTAGACATGGCTGAGTCCCATTTTCACAACTAAAGTTGACTGTCATCCTCCTCAGACTTTTAGGTTTTGTCTCATACTTCTCTGGCTTGCTTTCTGAGGGCATTATGTTGTTATTTTCAGTCTTTCTGGGTTGCAGTTCATTTCAGTAACTTTCATATTTCTTGTTCCCAAAAATATGTTTTGAAAATCTACAGTTCTCTCCCCAGACACCCTCTTAGCTGTGTTTGTATTTGAGCTGTGTTCATATTTCATGTCAAAGTTAAATATTTCATAAATCCCATTAAGCTTTTCTTTAACACATCAAGTATTTAGAATTGTATCCCTCCCTTTCAAATTGCATGGAGGGGAAAAGAAACTTATTTTTAAAATGGATTTCTGACTTACTACAGTGTAGGTTTTAAATATGTGATTGCTGAAATATTCCTTGGAATTTTTTAAGCTTTTTTTATTGCTTAGAATGTTGTCAATATTTAAAAATGAGTTTTACAATTGCTAAAAGCAATGTGAGTTTTCTATTTGTTGGGAGCAAGGTTCTCTATGCTGTACCTATTAAATAATGCATACTCATTATATTACTCAAAACATATATATTGTAAGTCTGCTTGTGTTTGGCCCCATTTCAGCCCTTGTTTGGGCCTGGTGGATAAACTCAAGTCTGGCTCGAGTTTTGAGACCTGTCTCAGTCACTTCTGTATTAGGGTGACTCAGCACGACCTGTTTGGCCCTGCCTCTGCTCAGCGGCTGCTGATGTAGAGCTTTGCCATTGGCCCTGTCAGTCACCCCATACCCTCTATCATCCTTCCCTGCCCACTATGTCATGTTACCCCACCAATACTCCTCTTCGCTATGCTCTGGGTTTATATAAGTGAGAGGCTGATACATTGAAGTTGAGTTTCTGCTTCAACAAGACTCCCAGCCAGGTGTGTTTCTTTGGGCCACCAAAACTCACCATCCCACTCAGCTCCAGAAAGACACAGCAGGACTGGGACCTCTCTTCTCTCGCCTGGACCTGCTGGCTTTAAGGAGCCAACATGCTTCGTGTTTCAATTTCTCAAATTTCTACTTTTTAGCTGTATTTACTTTTTTGTGATTATATTATTACATTTTCCCCTTCCCTATCCCTTCATGATAACTTCTTACATTATTTTGCCATGTGTATTTATGATAAATGTTTATCAATGGATTTAAAATCCTTCCTGTTATGAAACCATGCAATACTGTCTAATACTTTAGTCTTACCATGTTTTCCCATTAAAATTACTATTTTTGTTGATAATTCCTATTTAGGTTGATTGATAGACTTCAATGGCATCTTTACTTACCACTGATTCTCCTTATGCTTTGTTCTTTACTTGGAGAAACACACTTATAAGAAGGTTCAAATGAAACAAAGAACGTCCATATGCATTTTGTATAAACTTTCTGGTTACTAACTAGTAAACCGTTCTACCTTATATATATTATTTATATACATTACTTTCTTGAAGATTTAGGAGCAAGATGCAGACAGGTAAGCACATTCTCTTATAAAGCCAAGGCTCAATGAACAAATTTATTTGCAAGATTATATCTAATCTATAACATTTACTAGTGTTGTTTTAAACCTAAAGAATTCCTGTCTTTGTCTCTGTTTTTGTTGTTGTTTTTGGTTTTGTTTGGTTTTGTACTTTAGAATTGTGACAGTATAAGTATTATAGGGTATGGCTTAGTAGCTTACGGTTGCATCATGATTATATTTAGTTAATCAGGTTAAGCACTTTGGGGAAATAATCCTGCAGAAGTGATGTGTCAGAATGTACACTGTTGATGTCTTCCTGTTAGTACTAACTTTGGTTGTACAGTTAAGCCCTTCTGTGTCAGTATCCTCTTTCATAAAGTTATGATTTCTCCCTTTGCAGTACTAAGTATTTTGTAGAGAGGAGGCCAAAGGATAAGATTTCATGGTTCTAAGTTAACTAACTTCTGAGAATGACTATGGCCAGGGAGGCATCCATTGAACAATGAATCCAAGAAAACCAATCACAGCTGTGTGCCCCTTTGTGGTCCAGTCTCTGCAGTGAGACAGCAGCATTTCTACTTCAGTGTTACAACTGAACCATGATGCAACTCAGAATCAAGATGAAGAGAATTATACTGAACCATCCAATTCAAAAGAAAATTTGTCAACTATAAAACAGCTGCATTCTCACTCATTTATTTGTATATGCACATATTTGTATTATTTATTTGCATGTATATGTGGATATATATATATAAATATATATATTTAAATGATAGACAAGGTAAGGCTTTTAATACATAAAGGAATAAGATTAAGATGCATACATACATACATACACACACATACATACATACATACATACATACATACATACATATATACATATAACATAAGAGAACATGCCTATATTGGGGAAAGATTGGCGAAAGCTGATTGATAAATGGAAAGTAAATAAAAGTACTTATGGATGAATGGTAGCATTTTCTACAGTCAGAATTATGAGTGATGAAATGTTTTCAGCTGAAGCTTGATGTTAAAAAAAAAAAACAACTAAGTGCAACCAAGAAAAGATCATTTGCTGAGAATCTGCTAGTGCCAATCTCTACAACAACAAGAAGTGCCACA